CCAACAGAGAGAGAGATATACTATATAATCATGTGGTGCATGGCTATAAAGTGTATCTGTCACACTTACCTTAATTTGAAGATCCAGGGAAAAATCACCCATTTGGTTGGTATTTTATCTTGGGCTAGAAAAGCACCTTTAAAAATGTACCATCTAAATTGGAGGCTTCAATCAGTAATGCTTCCAATAAATTAATTGCTTTTAGGTATATTATGAAATAACTACACATAAAGAGAGCCAATTATTGGACAACAGATGATATGCCCCATTATAGAAATGTTTTATGTAATATATGAAAGAAATCATCTTAGTTTACAATGATACACTAAACAAAAATAAAAGGGCATGAAATCTCTTTTTTTTTTTTTTACTTTTTCTTTTTGAGATGTCGATTTCCTGGGACTATCACATCACTGTTTACTTGGGCTTTATAGTAAGAACTGATATTAAAGATTTAAACTGTCTCTCAAAATCTTTTACAATTTCTACTATGTGTTCCTATGCCAACACAAATGACTATATAATAAATGCCTTTATGATAAAAAACGTAATTTTTAAGCCTCAAGCCATAACCTATACCTACTAAAAGCAATATTCAATTCTATACAAATTTCCATTGCAACTAACAATTTTGATCTCTGAAACTGACTGAATAATTACTAACATTATTTTCTTTGTATTTATATCCACGGTCTTCAAGTTCTATCAATTCTTCTTTAATAAAACTTCTTTGTAACCTAACTATAAAAAATAAGGAATTTCAGTTGATTAAAATAATATTTCTAACCAATTTAGAAATACTTCTTGAAGTATATTGCTTCTTAAAGCCTTATATACTCCTCCCTTCTATCCATTTTCACTGAATAAACTAGTAATGAACAACCATATTTTTGTGCAAATAATGCACACATTATATAGTGTTTTTTTCAAACTGCACAATCCCCTCATTAGCTTCCTATGAGTGCTATGCATGTTTTGTGTGTGTGCACATTATTTAAACTTACTGCCGTCGAGTCGGTCCCCACTCATAGCGACCCCTCCTTGGGTTTCTGAGGCAGTATCTCTATGGAAGTAGATTGCCCAGTCTACCTTCTGAGGGCAAATTTTTTAGGTGGGCACATTATACGTGAACAGTAGTTGTTCAAGTCCTCCTTATCTCTCAGAAAACCAAAACCAAAACCCAAACTCACTGCCATCAAGCTGATTCTGACTCATAGCAACCCTCACTGGGTTTCAAAGGCAAGGTGGTATATCTTTCTGGAGGTAGATTCCTCATTTTCCTTTTTGAACTGCCAACCTTCTGGGTAGCAGTCAAATGCCTTAGGCACTGTGCCACCAGAGCACCTTCATCTCTCAGAACGACTATAAAAACTTTCTAAACAGTTCACTTGTTTTTCTTTCCAACCTATCTTAATATAGGCATACCTCCTTTTACTGCAGTTTGCTTTATGCACTTCAGAGATACTGTTTTTTACAAATTGAAGGTTTGTGGCAACTCTGTGTTGAACAAGTCTATCAGCACCCTTTTTCCAACAGCATTTGTTCACTTCATCTGTCTGTGTCACAGTTTGGTAATTCTCACAATATTTCAAACTTTTTCTTTATGCTACTGAATACTTAATAGACTACAATTTAGGATAAACATAACTTTTACATGTGCTGGGAAAGCAAAATATTTGTGTGACTTGCTTTATATTGTGATATTCGCTTTATTGTGGTGGTCTGGAACCAAACCCACAGTATCTGTGAAGTATGCCATGTATTGTCACAATTCATTTTTTTTTAACACTTCTTTCATGATGCCACATCTCAGTTTAACACAACTGCAATGGTTCCCCAATGCCTAAAGAGTGATTCTGGAAAAAGGGTTGAAAAGTAATGAAATAATTTACATTTCAGAAACAACAACAATAAAAACATTTTTGGTTTCATAATATAAACTACCAAAAGAAAGGCCAACTTTGGATGGAAGAGTATGGATTAAAGATGCATCACAGATTTTCACTCTTAACGCTGGTTTACAACAGGTCCAGAGACTGGCTCAAAGTCATCCTTCATGGTAATGTCTGTACTTTTCTCAAATCTATTTCTATCCAAGGTTTTCTGTGCATATCCTCAAAGCCTAGGTTAATCAACCACTTGAAGCCAAGGGTTTCCCCACAAAAAAATGACCATCAAGTGAAAAAAAAGGTTTTATTCTCATTTCAGAGTTAATGCATTGGAATAGGGGTGCTACAGCACAACAGTTTTACAGCAGCACACAGCAAAATAATTAACTGATGCAAATCAGAATTTACTCACATAGTATCAAATGGCAATGTTAAATGTGCAAATGTTAAGGATTAACTATACTCGGTAACATTAGCCAAGTTGCTCTATGTTCTCCTAACCATGTTCTGCACATGTCTCACCTTCTTTGTCTTTACTCACATCAGTCCTCACAGACCCTTTGAATCTTCAAAACTATGTTAGCTCCAAAATCACAATAAAATTATTCTGAGGAGCATATTTCTAAATTAGCAATATTTTCTTAAAAAGGCAAATTTCTACCATGCCTGTTAGATACCAAAAAGGAACACCTTTCCATCTTCATTTTACACCATTCTCCCCCTAGTTTTACACAATAGTCTACTTACAGATTCTCAAACATGAGAGCCTTTGTCCAGAACATTTCATATATCTTAACTAATCATTCTCCATGCCATCACCCTGTTTATTTTCCTAATAGTATGTACCACTATTCTGAGTTTCTTAATTATGTGTTATCTGTATGCACTGCCTCCAGAGGGGAGAACATGTATCCAACTTATTGCTATATTCTTAAGCCTAGAACAGTGCCTGGTTCTTGTCAGGTAACCAGTAATTTGTTTGAATGTTAGAAAGTCTAGACTCACTGAAATGGCTTAACTATCCATGACCTAAACAATTACTATGCTCCTGCATTTCAGAAAGGAACTAAAGTCTCCAAACAGATTATCATCAATACCAAACCCACTGCCATTGACTCAATTCCAATTCAGAGATTCCCACTGGGTTTCCAAGTTTGTAAATCTTTTACAGAAATAGATTGCCTCATCTGCCTCCTGCAGAGCAGGTGGTGGGTTTGAACCACCATCCTTCTGGTTAGCAGACAAATGCCTTATCCACTACATCATGAGAGCTCCTATCATCAATAGAGAATTAGGGAATTATGTAGAGTCCCTTAATAGGCATCTATCTCCTAAACTTGGGATTCCAACAGTCAAGATTCTAAGAGAATGCTGTCATCTCCTGAATCACCACTGTTCAAATAGAACACTACTCTTATTTTCTATGCAGGGTTCCAAGATGATAAGTTAGTATGCTTTGGTCAATCATTACATTTTCTTTTTGCAAATTTCTTATGACTGTATATTTTTATCACCTCATTTTCTCTCAAAAGTGTATGATGAAGAAAAAGGCTCCTTTAAGACCTTTAGTGCATTAATCAGTGTTTTGAGTAGTGCTGTGGGGCATGTCAATACTGAAATATTATGCAGAAATATCATCACACTGGCTTTATTTTCCCCATGATGGAACAAGGCTGACTTGGGAGGAAAAAAAAAAAACTATCATTACTGATTTTCTTTTTCTAGAATAAGGAACCACTTCTAGTAAATCTCCCAGTCTGTAACAAAAGACTTTTCCTATTCCTAAATAAACAATTTCCCAAGACATAAAGGATAATGAAACAATGTTCCTAAAAACAATAACAATAATATACAATCAGGTACTCATGTAAATCAAGATACGAAAACTATTCTACAGACAATAATTTTCCACATTTTATAAACCATTACTGTTAACCTGAAACTTCTAAGAAATAGTATTTCCAACTAATTTATGTAAACATCTGTCTTAAAATATTTCATTAAGTCTCATGGTAAATCTATCACAAAATCAGTTGCATGTTTCTCAGCAAGGAATCCACAGGTTTCCTCTTCTTTTAGAATATCAACGATTTTGTCCTTTTTTTTCCCCCTCTGCAATTCAATTAAGAAGCATTAAGAGTATGAATCCGTCCACACTAACAACCCTCTCACCCTACAACTAAGACCCTGGCAGAACTGCGACCCCTCTGAACACAACGTCCACATCCCGTTTCCCTGGCTGTGTGGGGAGTCGCCACATCACAACCTGGGAAGCTGGGTGGAGGCAGAGCTTGGCTAGAACCTTCTCCATTTCAATTCTCCCCATGCCACACCACTGGAGGCGCTCTACCTTCACTGCAGTTGGGTCAATGTGGACGTTTTTCCACTAGGCCGGCTCCCCACAAGCGCAAGAGAAGTGGGGGTGGGGGGCGAGGCTGATGACAATAGGCCCGCAGCGAAACTGCACCTTTTCCCTAGAAACCCAGACGGGTAGACAAACCAAGCCAAGCCAAACCCAACCCGCTGCCACCTAGTCGACTGCGACTCACAGTGACCCTATACGACAGAGCAGAACTGCCCCATCGGGTTTCCAAGGTTGTACATCCTTAAGTAAGCATAATGCTTCATTCTTCTCCCGTGGAGCGGCTGGTGGGTTTAACCACCAACCTTTCGGTTGGCAGCCGAGCGCTTAACCACTACACTACTAGGGCTCCTGAGTAGACAAAAGCCCTTCCTAAAAGATTAGGGCGCCAAGGCCTGCCCACCCCAAGCCAGCCAAATGAATCCACAACCCTGGTTCTCGATACACACCTACTACGGCTGGGCGCCCAACTTCTAGGACACGAAGCAACGGGGACTAGAGGGAAGAATGTTGGGAGCGGGTGAGGTGCACATGTTCCCCCAAACCAAGACACACAATAAAGCCCAGGCTTCCTCGGCCGCCCCACCCTTCTCCCCGCTCTTTCCATCAGGGAGGCCCCTTCACTTCAACATCTAAAGACAAAGACCCCAGGGGACCGAGCGGAGGGGCGGACCAAAGGCATCTGGATCTGCACACAAAAGAGGGAAGGGCGCGAGGGGCGGTGCGAGGCAGGAGGGTGCGGCACTCACCCACAGAGCCTGAGGAGCCCCTGCGCTTGGGCGCGGCAGGGGTGGAGGGGGGCGCGGCGGGGGCCGGGACGGACGGGGTCCACGCGGGCTCAGCCTGGGGGCTCACTGCGGCCGGGGGAGGAGGAGGAGGCCGGGCCGGGGGCTCGTCGTCCTCAGGCAGTGTGGAGGGTGAGGTTGCGGCAGCAGAGGGCAGGGACGGCTTGAGCACCGTCGACGACGCGGGGCTCGGATCCCAGGACTGCCGCTCCAGGGCGGCAGCGGGCGAAGCCGGCAGAGGCCCCCGGGGCGCTGGGGGCACGAAGTCATTTCCGAAGTCCAGGAGGGGCGCGCTGGCAGCGGGGGCGGCGGGCACTGGAGCCGCCGACAGCCCGGCGGGTTTTCTTTCTAGAACCTCTAGCTCCTCCAGATCCTCATCTTCGTCTTCATCTTCGTCATCTTCCTCTTCCTCTTCCTCCTCCGGCTCCCTCACGAACTGGTACTTGAACTGGGGCTGCGGCCGGGGCGGATTGTCCGAGGACGAGGAGACCAGAGGCGACTGGTCCAGGTCTTCCATGGCTGGCGGATTGGAAATGATGCTGTAGCTGCTGCCGCAGCCGGGGCTCCTTATCCTCGGAGTCGCAGGCTGTTGTGGGGGTTGGGGGGAGACTAACAGGGACCTAGTCGAGAGACCTGCAGTGGCGACGGCTCCCGGAACAATGAGACTGCTCCTCCTGCCTCCGCGCCCGCGATGCGCCACCCGCCCCGTCCCCAGTTGCCGCCGCTGCCGCCGCCCAGACCAGCGAAGGAGAGAGGCCAGCCGACTCTCCGCCCAGTTTGGCGTGACTCACCCTCCCCGACCGGGAGAGGCAGAGACTGGCGCGGGAGCGAGAAAGCCAATCGGCTTCGGGATGGAAAAGATGAGCAAGCAGCCGGCCCAACGGAAAGGGAAAGAGGTGAAGGTGGGTGGGGCTTATTGTACTTCCTCTCTCCTACCGGCTGGGATTGAGTTCCGCGGGCGGGGTTTGGCCCTAGGAGCCCCACCCCCCACTTAGGGTAGATGAGGGTCTAGGTGGGGTCTTAGCTCGTGGTCAGTTAGTTCTTAAAGTCCAAAGAGAGGGACCCGGCTGCGGACATGGAGGGGTTGGAGAGGTTTCTGACGCGCCACCGGAAGGGCGTTATCCTGGAGGAGGGGCGATGTTGGAAACTTTCCTACCAGAAAAGAAAAAACCCAGAGTGGGAAAGATACTACAAACAGGGTTGTGAAGTAGGCCTTTATGATTTAACTATACATTAAATTTTTAAAGAATTTGAAATAAAAGATTACATTTTTTCAAGCTTAATTTCCAAACCACCTCATACCACCACAACTACCACCATCCCCAAAAAAATGTTGACAGTTTTAAGGTCACTCTCAGTATAAAGTACAGCCCCTGGAATGAGATAGGCAAAACATCTGAGAAGAGGATTTGGGGATCTGATTCAAAGTCTGCTCATTGCTTTCCACGTGGGTTTTGGGCTCTGTTGCTGGACTTTCACATGGTGGTGGATGAGTCAGTAACCCAAAGAGAAGGAGAGGGGGAGGAGAAAAAAAAAAAAAAAAAACTCACTGCTGTGGGGTCAACCCTACTCATAGCGACCCCTCCTTGGGTTTCTGAGGCAATATCACCACGGGTAGATTGCCCAGCCTTTCTTCCAAGGAGTGGCTGGTGGGTAAAGGGGAAGTGGAAACAGAAAGATGCCTTGGAAGGCAAAAAATTTGATTCACATTTTCAGTCACCTCAGGCTCATCAGTCAACATTTCAGATGATTCAGGCTTTCTGGGAGTCAGGAAGCCCAATACTCATTAATTTGATATACCAGAATGAGAGTGATGCTCATTCCACTTTTCCCTAAACTGGAGCGTATAAAGAAAGTATTTGCAGAACATAAAAGAATGAACATCTAAAGGTTTATAGAACCCTTTTATCTTTCTGATGTACCTTTCAAAAACATTCTCTAAATGCCTACTCTGCTAGGCCCTGGAGAGACTAGGATAATCTGCTTTCAAGTTGCTCAGTCTAGACCTTTGCTATCCAGTGTTGTACTGGTGACTTGTGGCTGTAGAACACTTGGAACGTACTGTCAGTGTAAATGCACACCAGATTTCAAAGAGTTAGTAAAAATGTAAAATTTTTTTTTATAATGGTTGAAAATGATAATATTTTGGATATATTGGGATAAGTAGTATATATTATTAAATCAATCTTGTTTCATTTTACTTTTTAAATGTGGCTATGGAAACTTAAATACATATGTGGCTCACAGTATTTCTATTAGACCATGCTAATCTAGATTAATGATTAAGAAATTTTAATTGCTACTGGGAATCACAGGTTATTTAAGCAAATTGTTAGCACTAGCTAATTAACATTACCCCAGGCTTAATTTGGGCAATGAAAAGGAAAGGGTGACCAAGATTTCCTGGCAGTGTTACCTCATCAGGTAATTATCAACAATACATTCAAGACCTAGCACATTAATTCCACAAAGATTGACAGACTTTATTTACAGAATGGTTGTGAACTGGGATTTGTTTAGGTTTGGATTTTTTAAAAGAATAGAAAAACAAAAGCATTTGTGTAGAATTTTTGGTAGGTAGTTGTTAACAGATGTTTGGTCTTCAACTTAAAACTTCTCTCTGCAAACCTTTTACTGATTTATTTTGCTGATATGTTAATGCCAATTTAAAACAAAACTGATTCCTACTCTAATGACTAAAATAGTCATGTTTGACATATTTTTCAGGTATTTGTCAACAAATCTCTAAAATGTACATGATTTTCAACTAATTGCATACATATATACATATATACTAGCAAAATGTTTATGGTACAAATTTTTTCCATTAAGTTTAGCTGTCAGCAATTCAGTCTTCCCCATACTATTTTTGTTACTATGGTTGTTTTGAAATACCTTAATGGGAAAATACCTTAATGGGAAATTACACGGAGTTTTCATATATCATCTATAAGTTACTTAGTGATATTTCTGCATCCTTATGTCTCTGTAACTGCTACCACTAAAATAGTCTGAGGAATATTCTTAATTTATTAAAAGTTTTATAAAAAGAATATAGTATATGTTACATAAAAGTGGTAGAATTTCAACTTTAACAGTGAATAGCAGTAAATTCTGAGATGATAATATAAGCATTCTCTGCTGATGAAGGAAAATAAGAATTGTATATTATTGATCTCAGTGACTGCTAAAAATTAATATTTGATTCTTGAATAAGAGTAAGGAGTTCACCCAGTGTTCATAGAATGGTCAACAAAGCATAAATAAAAGAGAATATTGTTGCTTTACCAGAAAAAGTAGTTACATATAAGTTACATATAACTATACATATAAGTATACATATAACTAGATGCAAATATTGCTCTAACAGAATTATGGTGGGCATTTGGAAATACTTAAGGAAAAAATACAAATTTCAGATCATAATAATAGTTTGAAAATAATTATTAAGTGAATTATCTTTGAAATTATTTTACCAGAGTAGAGGTTTAAAGTTTCCAGATATCTGCTTGTTAGGAACTGTTCTGTCTTAGAACATACATGAGATCTGTCCAGCCTGGTAGACTCATAGAATCTCAGAGCTAAATGAGCTCTGAGAGGTCAGGTTGACCAACCTCCCTCCATTCCAGGAATTCCCTGCAGAAGCTTTTCAAAAGTTGCTCATCTGCGGTAGAGTGAAAAATGGCCACATACTCTTTTCAGCAAGTCCCATCAAGAGATGAAGTCTATTTCCCCACCTCTTCTGAGCTATGCTTGTGACTTACTTGATAGAATGTCCTGCAAGTGAGTTTCAATACCAAGGGCATTGCAGCTTCTGCTTTTGCCCCCTTAGAATGCTGAGGCCCTGTGAAAAAACCTAGGCTATTTCTCTTTGTTGCTATGATTCTGAACAGGTTTCAGCAGAGCTTCCAGATTAAGATGAACTGGAAAGAAAAACCTAGCCATCTACTTCTGAAAATCAGCCAATGAAGACCATAATATCACAAAGGTCTGATCCACAATCAATCACGGGGATGGCACAATACTGGGAAGCATTACATTCCCTTGTGCATGAGGTGACCATGAGTTGGAGGTGACTTGAAGGCAGCTAACCATATTCATTGTGGAAGATGGAACCACAGGGGAAGAAAGACCTAGCTATCGGAGCTATGTTAAGCTGATATTCCAGAAATGTGAGTGAGGCCATCTCAGACATCCAGCCAACCCACAGAATCATGAAGAGTGATGAATCATATTTGTTTTAAACCACTACCTCTTGGGGTGGTTTATTTCACAGCAAAAGCTAATTGAAACATCATAAATTTGTGCTTTATTCATTCACACAAGAAATATTTACTGGTATTTACTATATGCCAGGCACTGTTCAGGTCTCTGAGTACATAGCATTGAATGAAACAGACAAAAACGTGCTTGAACATTTTCAGTAAAGAGAGACTCACTTCTTAGGGAAATAGTCCATTTGTTTTCTGTAGTACACTTTATTGCAGAAAATGCTGAATTACTACCTAATCGTGTGTGTGTGTGTGTGTGTGTATAAAACCAAACTCACTGCCGTCAAGTTGGATCTGACTCATAGAGACCCCCTCCTTTGGTTTCCGAGGCAATATCACTACAAAAGTAGGTCGCCCAACCTTCCTTCTGAGGAGTGGCTGGTGGGTTTGAACCGCCAGCCTTCTGGTCAACAGTCAAATGCCTTAGGCACTAAGCCACCAGAGCCCCCGGTCTAGTATATGTAGAATGGGTAAATTGTCCTCTGGAAACATAGTGGGTAGCATTTGGCTGCCAACCAAAATGTCAAAGGTTGAACCGAACCCACCAGCTGTTCTGTGAGATAAAGATGAGGCAGTCTACTTCCATAAAGACTTACAGTTTTGGAAACCCTATGGGGCATTTCTACTCTGTCCTAAAGTGTTGCTGTGAGTTGGTATAAAAAAATGTCTTCACCAAAGAAAACATTCAGGCAGCCAACAAGCACATGAAGATATGCTCATGATCATCAGCCATTATAGAGATGCAAATCAAAACAACAACGAGATATCATCTCACCCCTAATAGCAAAGATTCAAAAAAACAGAAAACAACAAATGCTAGTGAGGGTACAGAGAGACTGGAACCCTCATACACTGTTGGTGGGACTGTAAAATGGTGAAACCACTGTGGAAAACAGTATGATGCTTCCTTAAAAAGCTGGAAATAGAAATACCATATGATCCAGCAATCCTAGATATATCCTAGAGCAATAAGAGCCATGACATGAACAGGTATATGCATACCCATGTTCATCACAGCACTATTCACAATAGCAAAAAGATGGAAATAACCTAAATGCCTATCAAACACATGAATGGATAAACAAAGTATGTTGCATACACAATATGGAATACTATGCAATGTTAGGGAACAACGATGGATCTGGAAAACATCTCATGATATGCATTAACCTAGAGGACATGATGCTACGTTAAATTAGTAAATTACAAAAGGACAAATATTGTATGAGACCATTATAAAGAGTCAAGGAAAGGTTTTCACACAAAAAGAAATATTCTTTGATAGTTACCAGGTGCCAGAGGGGAAAGTGTCAGACCATTGTCTACTAATTAGAGGGTAGACACATATTAAGTTGGGTGAAGGGGAAGCCAATATACAAAAAAAAAAAAAAAAATTACTATGAGGCTTAAATAAAACTATAGTCTCAGGAAAAGAAAAGGCGAAAGGCAAAGAATAGCTGCACTCTTGTCTATACATTGTGGCATGTGAATTCAGCAACTATAGGAGAATTGAGTTCCAGACAAACCTATTTCAACATCTGTAAACC